TTTGTTTTCAGAAGTTTTTATCTACTGTAGACATGCTCTCATGTAAGTTTTATGTTGTTTTAATCATGTTTGAATCACCTAAACACGGCGTGAATACGTCATACACAATCAGAATGAGAATCTGGAATATCAGCCCACGGTCGATCACGCCATAGCGGCGGTCGACCGCGTGCAGGACAGAGGCCTGAGTAGGTTCTGGAACCCATCGCGATCGACCGACGTTCTTGTGCAGTCGACTGCCACACAGTCTGTGGCCCTGTGCATGTTTTGTTCGACTATTGAGTTTTTGAGTTAGTCACTCGACCTTGTACTGTTATGATAAAATGTTTATGCGCTGTTTAACATCTAAAATGTCAGTAAACACCAGATATGAACACGTACACCAAGATATATACACGTATGTTTAAAATATGATATGTTAACATGATAAATAAGAAAAAATACACAAATATTATGTTTCCGAAATAGGGAGATGAAACCTATTTCCGCAGGGCGATTGAGCAAGAGTATTACAAAATTATCGTTATATTATGTTTTCGGAATAGAAAGATGAAACCTATTTTCGCAGGGTGATTGAGTAAGAGTATTACAAAAATATCGCCATATTATGTTTCCGAAATAGGGAGATAAAACCTATTTTTGCAAGGCGATTGTGTAAGAGTATTGCAAAAGTATTGTCATATTATGTTTCTGGGATAGGGAGATAAAACCTATTGCTGCAGAGCGATTGAGTAAGAATATTACAAGAGTAACGCTAATGTATAAGAGATGCACATTTGTAAGTAATATAATTTATAAATTGGTTTCCATTTTTTTTGAATACCCGCGAGTAGGGTGATTTCTCTGAGACCGTGACTTACACAACATGGTATTTGCTTGGCTTTGGTTTGATGAGTTCCTTTTATGTGAGATCCATCTACCCGAGTGTAGATCAGGATGAGATATTTATTCTACATGTTTGAGGTTTAGAGTATTTTCCTTTTGGTTTATTGCTTTCATTCATAGGGTTTGGAGTTAGTATTTAGGGAGTCACAATTTGAGACATGGTATATACATGAGGGTTTCCTTGTTTGGATTATTTCGCTCGACGTACTAACTCTCGTGTTGTGATTTCCTAAATATTAACTTATAGTTAGAATTTTATGAATGATTTCATATGTATATGTACTAACTCTATTTTCTATACACTCCTACCCCTTCAGAATTTTATGAATGATTTCATATGTATATGTACTAACTCTATTTTCTATACACTCCTACCCCTTCCCCCGGGGAGAGGTGAAGATGTTCTCGTTATAGCACTTTGACGCTCGTTGTTTTCCCCTCTTTCAGGCAGCGAGTCAGGCGCACGGAGAGTCGCATGTTGATGAGATTTCCTCATAGATTCCATCTAGCTATTTACTATTTAGTAGTTATTTCAGAACTCCATAGTTAGTTGTTTATGTTCAGACTCTAGACTTGTATTTTATTTTTAGAGGCTGAGAGTCATAGTGATATTTTATTTGACTCTTTGTACTTGAAGTTTATTTTAGACTCCCAGAGGTATGTCTACTCTATTTTTTTGGGCTCACTGATGATTATTCCCATGCTTCCTCTGTGTATATCTGGTTTTACTCTATTTCTTTTATTTGCATGTCTGTACCTTCACCTATTTGTTGTTTCCACTAGAGAGATAGTAATTATGATGGTGAAACATGTCGTAGCATGATGTTTGGTGCTTGGCAGGTTTGACATTCTGGGTTTCGCCTTGGACTGTAGCCTCGTGCGAAACCTGGGGCGTCACACACACAATATCAGTTTTCAACGCTCACTGATCAACATTTACAATCACTCATAATGTAACTACACAAATCCCACCTCAAGTGTTGGCTTCTCACGTGTCTCCCTCAAGTGCTCAGAATTACGACCTACCTCTAGGCTTTACCACCGACACCACTCCTCTTGAGACCGACCACGTCTCTCACCTCTACACTACTCTTGGTGTACTTGTGTAATTTAATGTGACCTCACAATTAAGATCTACAACAAATAATTGTTCTCTAAACAAGGTGAGAACTCAATTAAGCTCAACTCAATATGACAATCTCACAACCCTAAATATACTATGTATAAAAATACTAAAAGCTCAATGTGGGTGTGTGTAACAAAGAGTATTAATAAAAACAACTAAACTCGATATGAAATCTAGCTTATGGAAATTAAGATTAAAATAATAAATAGCTAGAATTGAGTTTAAGGAAAACTTCTCTATAGATCAGGAGAGAGAGAGAGAGAGAGAGAGAGAGAGAGAGAGAGAGAGAGAGAGAGATGAGTTGAAGCTCAAACACCAAAAGATGATCTCTTCTAGCTCCTGTGAAATTTCATCATAAACTTGAAACTCAAACAAACTTTAAACTCTTGTAAACTTATTTTAAACACTTCTTAATTACTTCAGAATATTAGAGGGCAAGGGGTATATATAGGATCATAAGACAAAGCCCAAAAACCAAGAAAAACTAAGCAAAAAGATAAAATAACAGAAACTAAAAATATAGCCGTTACAGGCCATCAGTCGACTGATGTGATGGATTTGTCGACTGATGAGCTGACCGTTACAGGTAGCTCACAGCATATCAGTCGACTGAAGACCTCATTAGTCGACTGAATAAAAAACATAAACTTTTTATAATTCCAGACGATTTCTTCAGTCGACTGAACACTTGCATCAGTCGATTGATAACATTATATCAGCTTGTAATGAATAGTAAAACCGATTTTCGAAATGTCTTTAAAAATAGCAAATAAATTCGATTATAAAACTTTGAGAAATACTTGTAAACATGATAATAAACATGTTACAAAAATTATTTTTGGAAATGTACCTCCCAAATGAGAAATCTCTTCATTTTTTAAAATGGTCCAAAAACGTGAAAAGTCAACACACTTATTTTTGACATTTTGACTTAAACAAAGTTTGAAACATTATGAAATGATTATATAGACGTGGTAAAAGATATAAAATATTGTTATTAAGTCCATAAGCTATGAATATAATATTTTAACAAAAATACACATGTTTTGCAAGCTTTAAAAATAATAAACATGATTTTATTATACTAAATCAACTTGATATTGATGAAATCATATATATGCGTATAAACATGAAACAAATATGTATTTTCTAATTATATTTATTTGTTTTATATTTAAACTTTAAAAATAAAAACCAAAACGTGTGTGTGTGTGTGTGTGTGTGTGTGTGTGTGTGTGTGTGTGTGTATAAACCAAATACATGTATGTGTTTTTGATTGAGCTTAAAGTATCTACACACAAGTATAAAACTAAACTAAATTACCCAAGCTTGAAGGTCTTCAATATAGCTTGTCTTGGTAAACTTTGCGGATGAACCTTGATCTTGGATCTTAATTTGAAATGTATTGCTTCACTCCACTATTCCTTCCATCCTCCAATGGATATGATCGTGAATGCTCGATTTCATCCAACCTCTAACATACTATTTTCCTAGAATAAATAAGAAAATACAAACACTAGATAAATAATATTAGTTGTTAATTATTTGTTAAAAAATTATCAAAACAAAAAGGCCAACATACATGACTCAATACTAGAACTAGATGATACACGACCAAGTACTTAAGACTGAATAAGACTCTCCAGCCTTTTATTAGACACATGACCAAGTCGTATATACCAGAAATTGGCAGGAAGCGAGGTAGAGGGTTTTGACGAACAAACAAAAGCAACAAGAGAACGTGGGCGTATGGACTCTGGAAGGTGAAGATATTCCAGAAAATACAGCTTATGCCTCCTACGACCCACCCTAACAATCTTGCCCGTTTGTGGATCTCGCAGAATATAAGTATCAGAAGAAAATGAGATAGTATGCCAGCCATACATAAAGAGCTAATAGAAATTAAATTCAAACATAGATGAGGAGCCACATAGATGGGACCAAGTGTTAGACGTCCAGATGGATTATTTTGTGGGGATAATAGAGCTATACTGAGTGATGGACAATGGTTGTCCAGCGGCTGTGTAGATAGGGGGAAGAGAAGATGAAGTGAAGATAGAGGATAAAAGTGAGGCTTACAAGTCATATGAAAGGAACTGCCAGAGTCAAAAATCCAGAGATCGTTCATACTAGAGACCGAATGATTAGCTGAAGAACTAGTGTTCACTTAAATCCGCAAGTGCACGGATATCGTTGTAGCAATACAAGGTCGTATTCTCAGAGACTTCGTTGTCAATTACTGATTTTCACTGTTTTGTAACTATCTAGACCAATCGTGATGGGTAGTTTGATTTTAATTATAGAATCAATAACGAACGCGCTAACTAATACTTGATTAAAAGAATCTAGGATTGAACTTTGGTTTCAACTCTGGTTTGAATTAACAAATTAATCAATCGTTATCAAACCTCTCAATGCATTAGGAATGACTAGCCTATGATAACTATTAGCCTCTTTCGACGACTAAAATTCGTGCCTAATTCAATCTAACAACCTATTTTCTTGGTGTTAAACTAAATTAAATCCATTAAGTTCACGTTAGTCCCTTATATTCCCAAGAATAATTAACCTACTTTTGTGATCAATTAATCCCGGTCACTCCCGTTCAATTACTATTTTCCGGCGTTAGTCTAACCTTTCAGTTCAAATCAACATCCTAAAGGAGTCAAATCAGTTGCCAATTGAATTAACCCTAGGCAATTAGATACTAGCAATTGAATAATGCAAATCAAATAATTAATGATAACTAGGCAATTAGATACTAGCAATTGAATAATGCAAATCAAATAATTAATGATAACAACAAGATCAGTTCCTTGATTCATAACCATGGCCCAATTGAATAATGCAAATCAAATAATTAATGATAACAACAAGATCAGTTCCTTGATTCATAACCATGGCCGAACTTAGTTCAATCCCAGATAAGATAATTACTCACAGATAATTGAAATAGAAAACATGATAATAATATATAAGATCATAATCATAAACTGGAAAACGAGATAGATCAGAAAGATAAACGTAGTGTTGAAGTTGTACACAATTCTCCACAAACAGCATATTCCAAATCAAAAGAAAACCTAATCTAAGAGTTTTTTTAGAGAGAAGGGGAGAAGAAGAAGAAAAGAAAAGGAGAAAAAAAAATCTAGCCTCTTGTCGTTTTTCATGCCTCTGGGCGTCCTCATTTAAGTTCTGGGAAAGATCACGTTAACAGATAACTTCAAATCTTGCTTCAAATCTCGTAATAACTGAATACTGGTACCGACAAGGCTGTGTATATCAACACAACCAGACCGTGTTTAACTCTGTTTCGTTCTGCTCTCCGGGCTTTTCTTTTGTAATCAACACGCCCGTGTTGTTGAACACTATGGGACCATGTAGCCTCTTTCCATGCATTTCTTGACTCCTTCTTGACTCCTAATCCACGCCAAGCTCCAGTAATTCCTACATAATATATAAATAGAGCAGTAAACAAGAATTAGGGAGCTTAACATGACCAAAATGCAAGGAAATACATCAAATAACAATAAATCCGTAGGTGAAACATAGTCAAAATATAGAGAATATTCGTGTTTATCAACTCCCCCATGCTTGAACTATTGCTTTTCCTCAAGCAAAACAGATGGAAACACACACATGAGAAGGTACAGATTCAAAGAAAATAGAAATTAAGCACAAAGATATCCACTATTCTCAAGTTCACATGCAACATTATTTCACTCAACCCAATGTCAAAATAGAAATCTTGTCTCAAGTTCAAAGTTGAAGAAAATGTATTTGTACGCGTTCACATACGTTAGCGCAAGTGACTCAACTCATAAACATTGGAAAAAATGCCATGGAAAAGTTGATTGCCCAAAAGTCCTCGTGATAGACACATATCTCATCACAATGGGTCATACTCTTCCTACTTAAGGTCTTAAAGGAGCACTCGGTTTCCTTGCAATTTTTTTATTTATTATATTTTATTCATTTTTTTGAAGATCCCGTCATAATTAACACCTACCGACGTGACAACCACACTTCTGAGGGTATGGTGTCAAGTACTCGGTGCAACAGACTTTAGGACCTTTTTTTCCAAGGCAGAGTGTTTCTCCAGTAACCAAAAAATAGTCCAAGTCACCAAAGGAGCCTAGATACTAATTAGATGGATTAAGCCAAAGGTCATGCCTATTTATTTTAATGTTTAGAGTCAAGTATCGGCAAAGTGGAACTCGAACAGATGACATCCTAACCAACCAGACGTGGAACAAAGATTTTTTTAAACAATGGGGTAGGTGAAATAAATGATGTACGTGTTAAAATGGCTTGCAAATAGTGGTACTCCTTTTCTTTTTTTTCTTCTCTTTCCCCTTTTTTTTAAAAAAAGCTAAATGAAAAATGCCAACACTAAAAACAAGCACTCAAAAACACCAAAGCATACATGAAACATCATCCCAACAAACCCACTCCCCCATGCTTGAATTGCACATTGTCCCCAATGTGTTTGAGTAAATGAAAGGAGGATAAGAGAGACTCACCGCTCATTGAGGTGGCGGTGGAGGTGGATAATCGTGAGGTAGAGAAAAATGGTATAAATCTTGTATCAATTGGTTCATCGTCCCTAGTGTAGCGCCAAAACCATCCAGACGCGTGTTAATGGCAGCGAATTATGTGCCCATATCTTGTTGTAAGGAGTGAACAGGCTCTTTTAAGTGTAGCTACCCCCGCTCTAACATGTTGAACATGTTGATCTAATTTGGGGACGCGCTAGATGTGGATGCACCATGGAGCAAAGTGTGTGGAGCCGCTTGTTGTAGGGGTACCTGAGGAGGTAGTTCGTAAGGCAAGCCACCTTCAGGTGGCTGCCAATTTTATTGGCTTTCAGTGTTAGTAAGCTCATGATTAGGGAGTGGAAAAATAGAGCGATTGAAGAAAGTTAACCAATATTCGTCATCAATTTTAGTTATAAGACCAAAAGTTGTGCAATATGATAAATCCAATCGGGATATTGGTTTCTCAGCATGTAGGTGAGTGAATGCTAATTTCATGCATTCTGCGAGGATTGTGATCAGCCCCCCAACAACAATGTCACCTACACTAGATTTCTCGATTTTTTCTAACTGTTTGGCTAAAAAGTATCTCACATCAACCACCATCCTATTAACTAGACAGTACAACAAGAAGACTTCAATATCCCTAAAAATACTGACACTCTCTCCCCTACCAAAGATGGTGTTTTCCATGAGCCACTGTAGATAGCGGAAAACTGGGTTATAAATTTGGGAAGCCTTATTTTTAGAAGGTACATACGTTAGCGCAAGTGACTCAACTCATAAACATTGGAAAAAATGCCATGGAAAAGTTGATTGCCCAAAAGTCCTCGTGATAGACACATATCTCATCACAATGGGTCATACTCTTCCTACTTAAGGTCTTAAAGGAGCACTCGGTTTCCTTGCAATTTTTTTATTTATTATATTTTATTCATTTTTTTGAAGATCCCGTCATAATTAACACCTACCGACGTGACAACCACACTTCTGAGGGTATGGTGTCAAGTACTCGGTGCAACAGACTTTAGGACCTTTTTTTCCAAGGCAGAGTGTTTCTCCAGTAACCAAAAAATAGTCCAAGTCACCAAAGGAGCCTAGATACTAATTAGATGGATTAAGCCAAAGGTCATGCCTATTTATTTTAATGTTTAGAGTCAAGTATCGGCAAAGTGGAACTCGAACAGATGACATCCTAACCAACCAGACGTGGAACAAAGATTTTTTTAAACAATGGGGTAGGTGAAATAAATGATGTACGTGTTAAAATGGCTTGCAAATAGTGGTACTCCTTTTCTTTTTTTTCTTCTCTTTCCCCTTTTTTTTAAAAAAAGCTAAATGAAAAATGCCAACACTAAAAACAAGCACTCAAAAACACCAAAGCATACATGAAACATCATCCCAACAAACCCACTCCCCCATGCTTGAATTGCACATTGTCCCCAATGTGTTTGAGTAAATGAAAGGAGGATAAGAGAGACTCACCGCTCATTGAGGTGGCGGTGGAGGTGGATAATCGTGAGGTAGAGAAAAATGGTATAAATCTTGTATCAATTGGTTCATCGTCCCTAGTGTAGCGCCAAAACCATCCAGACGCGTGTTAATGGCAGCGAATTATGTGCCCATATCTTGTTGTAAGGAGTGAACAGGCTCTTTTAAGTGTAGCTACCCCCGCTCTAACATGTTGAACATGTTGATCTAATTTGGGGACGCGCTAGATGTGGATGCACCATGGAGCAAAGTGTGTGGAGCCGCTTGTTGTAGGGGTACCTGAGGAGGTAGTTCGTAAGGCAAGCCACCTTCAGGTGGCTGCCAATTTTATTGGCTTTCAGTGTTAGTAAGCTCATGATTAGGGAGTGGAAAAATAGAGCGATTGAAGAAAGTTAACCAATATTCGTCATCAATTTTAGTTATAAGACCAAAAGTTGTGCAATATGATAAATCCAATCGGGATATTGGTTTCTCAGCATGTAGGTGAGTGAATGCTAATTTCATGCATTCTGCGAGGATTGTGATCAGCCCCCCAACAACAATGTCACCTACACTAGATTTCTCGATTTTTTCTAACTGTTTGGCTAAAAAGTATCTCACATCAACCACCATCCTATTAACTAGACAGTACAACAAGAAGACTTCAATATCCCTAAAAATACTGACACTCTCTCCCCTACCAAAGATGGTGTTTTCCATGAGCCACTGTAGATAGCGGAAAACTGGGTTATAAATTTGGGAAGCCTTATTTTTAGAAGGTTCATAAGGTCAATGATCATTTGCCCTACCCTCTCTCTCACAGGCTATTTCTCTCCAAAAGGTGGCTGGATCCCATTCTCTCGGGGATTTTCTAAGTCCCTGCTTAGGTAGGCTAAGAAGTCGGTTAAATTTAGCCATACTAATCACATAGTCTTTGTTAAAAAATTAAAAGATCAGTCGACCACCTACAACGCTATCATTAGCATCAACAACTAAAGAACTTAAGAATTCAAGGGTAAGTCTCATGTATGTAGGGCAATGCAAAGTCACAAAATTTCTCCAACCTATGCCAGTCAGTAAATTATATATGTTATCTTTTAACCATAATTATAGCAAAGCATCTTCATCAATAAATTTTGTCAGTAACAAGCGTCGGGAGACCAAGTTATTGAATCGTACCTCTTGATTGTTATCAAGGTTAAAGATAATACCATAAGGGTTGTTCGGAGGAGGTGAAGGGTTACCCCTTATAGTTCTGTGTCATGGGTCTGCCGATGAGTTGGAAGTTGAAGCTTCATTGCATTTTTTGCGTTTTGGAGCCATGGGGCCAAATGGATCTAGGGCTTCAGTTGATGAATGGGAGGTTGGAGGTGGTTTGAGGACATGCCTGGCGGTTTTTGCTACGGTGATGAAAGGAGAAGACGGAGGCTTGTTGGGGGGCGGGGGTAAAAAGGGTCTGTAGTTGACCGGTGATTTTAGAGGTGGAGGATGGGAGAGTTGAAATGAAGGGGAATTAGGAATTGAAGTTAGTGGAGCATGGGAACATGAGAGGAGATGAGAGGTGTTATGGGAAAGTGAAATGAAGGGGAGTTAATGGGTTGGTCAAAAGTTAGTGGGGAGTTAATGAAAAAGTTGATGAAAAAGTTAGAGGGAAGTGGGAAGTTAATGGGAAAGTCAGAGGGAAGTGGAAAGTTAATGGGAAAGTCAGAGGTAAGTTAATGGGCCACCAGGAAGTTGGTTTGCTGGATCCTGGAAGTGAAGTGAAGACTGTTGCCTGACAGATACACGGCTGTGTCCACAGACACAACCAGGCCGTGTAGAATCATTATTCAGTATTTTTCCCTTTTGTCCTCTTTAGCCTTGAACTCTCTGTTACCTATTTTCCCCTTGTCATTCACCTACACACCTGTTCACGACAACTTGATTACATGCCATGAAAACTAATAATTAAAACACTAAAAGGAAAAATAAAGTGAAAGGAAAAAACTTGGGTTGCTTCCCAAGAAGCTCGTTTATGGCCATGAGCTCAACCTCTTCAATGCTCACAATGATGATGGATAGGGAAGGGTACAAGTACCCAGCTTCTCAATCGGAGTTCCCGCAAAATAATTCTTTAACCACTATCCATTGACCTTGAAGGTTCCCATGGCTTCACTCCATACTTCAACAGCCCCAAATGGATATACCTTACGCACTTGGAATGGTCTAGACCACCTCGAACGAAGTTTGCCCGAAAAAAGCTTGAGTCGAGAATTAAATAAAAATACCAGGTCCCCTTATGTAAATTCCTTTACGAAGGATGTATTGATCATGCAACTTCTTTGTTCTTTCTTTGTAAATCTTGGTATTCTCATATGCATCCAACCTCAATTCATCGAGTTCATTTAGTTGAAGCTTTCTCTGTTCCCCTTCTTCTTTCAACTCTAAATGAATGTTCTTGATGGCCCAATGTGCCTTATGTTCCACTTCAACTGGTAAATGACGTGATTTCTCATAGACCAAACTGAATGGCGCCATACCTATAGGAGTCTTATAAGATGTCCGATATGCCCAAATAACATCATCTAGCTTCATAGATCAATCTTTTCTTGAACGAGACACTGTCTTCTCCAAGATTCCTTTGATTTCCCGATTAGTGATCTCCACCTGGCCACTTGTTTGAGGATGATACGGTGTAGCCATTTTGTGAGTTACTCCGTACTTCTTTAAAAGTGTACTTATGACCCTATTTGCAAAGTGAGATCCTCCATCACTGATTACAGCTCTTGGGACACCAAAACAGGGGAAAATGACATTTTGAAATAATTTGACCACCACTTTCACATCATTTGTTGGGGATGCTAAAGCTTCATCCCATTTTGACACGTAACCCACTGCTACCAATATATGCTTGTTATTGCGTGATGGTGGAAAAGGTCCCATGAAGTCAATCCCCTACACGTCAAAGAGTTCGACTTCAAAAATGTTATTTTGTGGCATCTCATTCCTCCTTAAGATGTTTCTTGTCCGTTGACATCGATCACAACTAAGCGCAAAACATCTCACATCCTTGAAAAGTGAAGGCCAATAGAACCCAGATTGTAATACTTTAGCCGCGGTCTTGGTGGTGCTTGCATGACCTCCGTATGGTGAAGAGTGGCAGTGGGCTATGACATCCAATACCTCCTCTTCAGGAAGGCATCTTCTATATATTTTATTTTACACAACACTTATAAAGACAGGGTTCATCCTAATAATAGTGCTTGACATCCGATAGGAACTTCTTGTGTTGTTGATAGGATAATTCAGATGGTAACACCCCATAGGCAATATAGTTCACAAAATCAGCGAACCAAGGGGCTTGAAGACTTGTAACAGCAAACAGGTTGTCATCTGGGAATGAATCATCAAATGGCTCCTTTTCACCTTCTACTTGATCCATTTCTTGCCTGAGCCTAGAGAGATGATCGGCTACCACATTGTCGGTGCCTTTCTTGTCTTTTATCTCGAGATCAAACTCCTGTAATAAGAGAATCCACCTTAGCAGTCATGGTTTTGCATCCTTTTTAGCCAAGAGGCACTTCAAAGCAGCGTGATATATGAATGCTATGACCTTCGACCCAACAAGGTATGATCAGAATTAATCCAAGGCAAACGCTACGACTAGGATTTTTCTGTTGTCGCATAGTTCATCTGAACTTCATCCATTGTTCTACTGGCATAATATATGGTGTATATTTTCCCTTCTTTCCTTTGCCCAAGAACATCCTCGATAGCATAGTCACTTGCGTCGCACATAATCTCGAATGGAATGCTCCAATCAAGTGGTCTCATAACTGGGGTAGTTGTCAAAGCTTCCTTTAACCTGTCCAAAGCATCAAAACAAGATTGATCAAATGTAAAGGGAACATCTTTTATAAGAAAGCAGGTTAAGGGTTTGGTAATCTTAGGAAAAATCTTTAATAAAATGCCTATAGAACCCGACATGGCCCGGAAAGCTCCTAACTCCTTTTACATTAGTTAGTGGTATCCACTTCAATACCCCAATTAGAAATTAAATGACCTAAAACAATTCCTTCTTATACCATAAAATGGCACTTCTCCCAATTTAACACAAGGTTCATTTCTTTACATCTTTTTAAGATCTTAGCAAGGTTATGCAAACAGTAATCAAAAGAAATGCCATAGACTAAAAAATCATCCATGAAGACCTCCATAATGTTCTCAATAAAATTAAAAAATATGACCATCATGCATCTTTGAAAAGTGACAGGGGTGTTACATAGGCCAAATGACATTCTCCTATAAGCAAAAGTGCCATATGGACATGTAAATATTGTCTTCTCTTGATCGCTAGGATGAATCGGGATTTGAAAGAATCCTGAATACCCATCTAGATAACAGAAATAAGAATGCCTAGCCAGCCTCTCTAACATTTGATCGATAAAAGGGAGGGGAAAATGATCTTTTCTGGTAGCTTTATTAAGTTTTTGATAATCAATGCATATGTGCCAACCGGTGACCGTTCTAGTGGGGATTAGCTCATTTTTTTCTTTTTTGTCAATGGTCATACCTCCCTTCTTAGGTACTACTTGAACTGGGCTCACCCATTCGCTATATGAGATAGGATAGATGATCCCCGCATCAAGTACTTTTAACACCTCTTTCCTAACGACCTCTTTCATGTTCGGGTTTAGCCTTCTTTGATGTTCAATGGAAGTTTTGTACCCTTCTTCTAGAAAAATTCGATGCATGCAAATGGATGGATTAATGCTCTTAATATCATCTATGAAATAACCTATCGCATCCTTATGCAACCTTAGAACCTTAAGCAATTTCTCAACTTCCTGGTGACTTAAATCAGCATTAACAATTACAGGGTACTCACCATTGGCGTCCAAGAATTCATACTTGAGCGAGGAGGGGAGTGGTTTTAGTTCTACCTTAGGTGCAGTTTTCCCTTCACAAACTTGTTCTGGGCTGTTTCTGCTGCTTTTTGACACGACTGTGTCCACGGACACAACCTGGGCATTCAACTATTTTGCAGTTTCGGCCACTGTATTAGGTCCTTTGCTGTAGGTGGTTTTGCTGCAGGTTGGGCTTTCATCAAGCATCGTAATATAGGAAGTTATTTCCTGATCATCGTCAGCTGGTACCCTATTCTTTATTCTTTACTAAGCATTTCTCAAGTAGATCACTTGAGATGCATCTAGTAAAGTCATCTCTAACCACCATATCAATTGTATTAATCCTGCAGTAAGTATCATCAATTAGTGGAAATTTCATAGCAAAAAACAAGTCAAAATTCACCTTTTCATCCCCTATATTGAGAGAGAGAGCTTTCCATTATTCACATCAGTTAAAGTTCTAGCAGTAGCAAGGAAAGGTTTTCCCAATATAATAGGGATTTAAGAATCCTTCTCAATTTCAAGAATAACAAAATCAACCGAAATATAGAATTTACCAACCTGGATAGGTACATCCTCTTGTTAGACCCTAGAGGGGGGGGGAGGGTGATTAGGGTCTTATGCTAATATAATCCGATTTTATGCTAATTAAAACTAATTAACAAGTTATCCTAGTAAGTATAAAATACAACAAGATATGTGAGCTAGGATAAGTGATATACACAAGGGTAAACAAAATAAACAAGATAGTGGATAATATAAATAATGAGCAATGGACAATGGCGATAAGAAACATAAACATAAGAGTAAGTGCGCCAAAGCAAACTCAAACCACGATATGATCACGGAGTTCGGACCTTCCGTCCTACGTCTCTGCTCTCCACTCCCGGTGAGAAATCCACTATCATAACCGAGTTTTTTACGCTCACTCGAATAACGTTTACACCTCACAATTTCATTCACGTAGTTCGGTCCCCACGACCTACGTCTCCGCTCCTCACCTCGAGGAGATCTCCACTTCACACTCGGTTTTCTAGCTAACCGAAAACTTTACAATATCACAATATAACAAATGATTTGTTCTCTATAATAGATGAGAACTCAATGTAGGCTCACACTTAATATTATAACTCTCACCAACCTAAATATACTATGTATAAAAATACAATAAGCTCAATGTGGGTATGTGTAACAATAAGATATAAATTAAAACTAAACTCAAGATAATTCTAGCTTAATAATAATGATAATCAAATATATAAAAGAGCTAGAAATAGAGTTTAGAAAACTTCTTAATAAATCAAGAGATCAAGGGAGAGTAGTTGGATGCTCAAACACCAATAGATGATCTCCTCAAGATCTTGTAAAATTAATTTCATAAAACAAACTCTCATATGCTTAAAATCTTTTTAAACAAACTTAAATAACACTTAAACCCTTGTTAAAACTTTGTTAAAACATTTCTTGGATCACCTTGAGAGTTGAAAGCAATAGGGTATTTATACCCACTCAAAACTTCAGCAAAATCCCCAAGAAAATGACAAAAAAGCCCCACAAAAATAGCTGCTGGAAATAGCCGTTGGAATCCAATGGACACTTTGGTGGTCGACCACACTGTAGCACGGTCGACTGCACTGTTCACGGACAATTTTTGTTTTTGACAGATTATGGAATTTTATGTATCTGACTTTGTAAAATCAATTAAAAATAGTAAATGAACTCCAAAAATTATGAAATATTGAGAGAAGGTTCTAGATATGTATATAAACATGTTAGAGAAAGAATCTATGAAATATCACTTCTCAGTTGAGAGAAATAAATGTTTTAACAAAGATATATAGTTTCTAAAAAAACTGCAGAAAACTTGGTTTTGTAAATTCAATTGAAAATAACCAAACAACTCCAAAATTAGTAAAAATTGGGAAAATATTTATATATATGATGATAAACATATAAATAAAGAAAATTTTCAAATCGCATTTCCTAATTTTTAAAATGCATCTATTTTGCAAAAATATGCACGAACATGAGCTTATTAAAAACTTGATTTTGTAAATTCAAATAAACATAAAAATTTAATTCTAAAATTGATAAAACTTTAGAAAACATTTATAAATATGAAATTGAATATGTTAGAAAAAGAATTTCGCAAATTGAGTTTCCCATTTGTGAAAACTCATGTATTTTGCAAGTGTGTCCAAAACATGAAAGTGTGATATACATGAAATTTGATGTTTTGACATAAACAATATTTTGAAACCCTATGAAATAATTTTATAGACTTAATAAAATATGTTTACAATAATTGTTAAGTCCATAAACCAAAACTTGTATATGTATATAACTATATATATAAAAACCAAATATGTGTGTGTATATATGATTGAGCTTAAAGTACTAACACACATAATATAAAACCTAAACTAAATATACCCAAGCTTGATTGATCTTTAATGTAGTTCAACTTGGTACGCTTGCGGATGAAGCTAGAATTTGGATCTTTAATTTGAATTACGTAGGCTTCACTCCACAATTCCGCCAACCTCCATTGGATTTGATCGTTGAAGCGCAATCCATCAAACCTCCAACATGTTGTTTGTCTACAATAAATAGATAAACACAAATACTAGACAAATAACATTAGTTATAAATTGTTTGTTAAACATCATCAAAACAAAGAGGCCAACACCTCTAATATACCTACCGGGCGTTTAATAGATCGATCTGCCAATTGAAGAGAGATAGTAGTGGGCTTCAAGTCTCCCATCTACAACTTGTTACATATAGACACTGGCATAAGACTGACACTAGCACCAAAATCACATAGAGCACGATTAATTGATATATCACCAATTGTGCAAGGAATGGAAAAAGAGCTAGAATCTTTAAGCTTAGGTGGTAACTTATTTTGAATTATGTCACTTCACTCCTGAGTTAAGGCTACGGTTTCATACTCCTCTAATCATCTTTTGTTTGACAAAATCTCCTTTAAGAATTTGGAATAAGATGGCATTTGGGAAATGGCTTCAACAAATAGGATGTTAATATGTAATTTTTTTAATATTTCTATGAATTTCCCAAACTATTTTTCCAACTTAGCTTTAACTTGCCTTTGAGGGATTTTTAATATTTCTATGAATTTCCCAAACTATTTTTCCAACTTAGCTTTAACTTGCCTTTGAGGGAAGGGTAGTGGAGGCTTATAAGAATTTCCCAAACTATTTTTCCAACTTAGCTTTAACTTGCCTTTGAGGGAAGGGTAGTGGAGGCTTATAAGATGTAGGGGCAACATATCTCTCAACTTTCTCACTACTGTGCTCTTTCTCACTTGTCACTGGCTTCTCACTCTCATCGACCACAACCTTATGGTCGCTCCTCATCATTGGTCCATCTAACTCTTTTCCACTCCTAAGTGTGATGGCATTGATAGATCCCTTTGGGTTAGTTTAAGGTTATCCAGGAAATATCCTAGAAGGTGTGGAAGAAGAGTTAGATTGTTGGGCCACTTGAGTGATCAGATTCTCTAACATTTTATTATGGGTGGCTAAAGAGTCAACTTTAGAGGTTAGATTCTTAATGACGTCACTTATGATCCTATTCTGATTTCTAAATTCTTCATTCTGCTTATTCTGGGATGTCATGAAATTCTCCATCAAGCTCTATCCTATTCTGATTTCTAAATTCTTCATTCTGCTTATTCTGGGATGTCATGAAATTCTCCATCAAGCTCTCCAAGTTGGACTTTTGGGGACTAGGGTAAGATGTCATGAAATTCTCCATCAAGCTCTCCAAGTTGGACTTTTGGGGACTAGGGTAAGGGAGTCTAGGGGCTTGAAAACCTGGAGGTCGATAATTAGAGTGAGGATTTGGGTTTTGGGATGGATTTTTATAGGATAAATTAGGATGATTTCTTCACCCCGGGTTGTATGTATTGGAAAAAGGGTCCCCTTTCTGATTAAAATTATTCATATAATTAACATGTTCAGATAATAGAGCATCAGAGGAAGGGGAGTTTCCAATTTGACATTCCACAATAGAATGTCCAATGATACCACATATTTCACAGTTAGTAGAGTTAGATGCTACTGAATTCATGTTCATCTTGTCAAAATTTTGAAATAAGCATCTACTCTAGAAGCAATATGGTCTAATGCATCTACATCATACCTATCACTTTTTTTGGGTAAAGAACGTTCACCTGACCATTGGAAATAGTTCTGTGCCATATTCTCTATGAGCTGTTTTGCATTTCGTAACTTTTGTTCATTAATGCACCACCAGTTGCAGCATCCATGATCATCCTTGTGTTATAGAGAAGACCATTGTAGAAAGTGTGAATTATGAGCCAATCCTTTAACCCGTGATGTGGACACATTCTTAGAAGATCCTTGTACCTCTCCCATACATCATACGATGACTCCCCTTATTTTTGAGTGAAAGTTGTTATCTGATTTCTCAATTGGGCTATTTTTCTCGGAGGGAAGTACTTAGCAAGGAACGCTTTTGAGAGTTGGTCCTATGTAGTGATGGAGCCCGGTGGAAGTGATTGCAGCCAAGCCCTTGGCTTGTCTCTTAGTGAGAAGAGAAACAACCTTAGCTTGATTGCATCATCCGACACTCCATTCATCTTTAGGGTGCCATAATACTCTAGGAAGATTGAGATGTGGAGGTCTGGGTCATCCGTTGGAGTACCCCCAAATTGGTTTTGCTGAACCATGGAGAGAAGTGAAGGCTTGAGTTCGAAATTGTTGGCAGCAACATTAGGCTTCAAGATGCTAGATTAGGATCTATGGGTGGTTATGATGCAAATTCCTTCAAGGATCGGTCTTGATTGCCTTGGTTTTCTTGATCTCCCATGGTGTTTTTGCTTCTCAAATTGTCCTTTGTTCATTGTACCAATTTCCTAATAGCTCAGAAGGTCCTTTCGATCTCGGGATCAGACTCAATCGGTTCTCCAAGTCGTAAGGATCTGGGCATACAAGGGTGCCTACACAAGAAAGCAAAGGAACAAGTCAAACATAAAAGAAAATAAAAAATAAAAATAAAAGAAAAAGTCTAGTCTAGCCAAAAAATGGAAAAGTTAATATTAACAATGCCGAAGTCCCCGACATCGGTGCTAAAAGCTTGTTCACTCAAATCCGCAAGTGCACGGATATCGTTGTAGCAATACAAGGTCGTATCCTCAAGGACTTCGTTGTCAATTACTAATTTTCACTATTTTGTAACTATCTAGACCAATCATGATGGGTAGTTTGATTTTAATTATAGAATCAATAACGACTAGTACTCGATTAAAAGAATCTAGGATTGAACTTTGGTTTCAACTCTGGTTTGAATCAACAAATTAATCAATCGTTATCAAACCTCTTAATGCATTAGGAACGACTAGCCTATGATAACTATTAGCCTCTTTTGACGACTAAAAGTCGTGCCTAATCCAATCTAACAACCTATTTTCATGGTGCTAAACTAAATTAAACCCATTAAGTTCACATTAGTCCCTTATATTACTAAGAATAATTAACCTACTTTCGTGATTAATTAATTCCCGTTCAATTACTATTTTCTGGTGCCAATCTAACCTTTCAGTTCAAATCAACATCCTAAAGGAGTCAAATCAGTGGCTAGTTGAATTAACCCTAGGCAATTAGATACTAGCAATTGAATAATGCAAATCAAATAATTAATGATAACAACAAGATCAGTTCCTTGATTCATAACCATGGCTGAACCTAGTTCAATCCCAGATAAGATAATTACTCACACATAATTGAAATAGAAAACATGATAATAATATATAAGATCCTAATCATAATATGGAAAATGAGATAGATCAGAAAGAAAAACCGTAGTGTTGAAGTTGCACACAATTCTCTACAAACAACAGATTCCAAATCAAAAGAAAACCTAATCTAAGAGTTTTTAGAGGGAAGAGGAGAAGAAGAAGAAAAGAAAAAGAGAAAAATCCAGCCTCTTGTCGTTTTTCATGCATCTGGGTGTCCTCATTTAAGTTCTGGGAAAGATCGCGTTAACAAATAACTTTAAATATTGCTTCAAATCTCGTAATAACTGAATAGTGATACCAACACGGCTATGTATATCAACACGACCAGACCGTGTTTAACTCTGTTTCGCTCTGCTCTCTGGGTTTTTCTTATGTAATCAACACGCCTGTGTTGTTGAACACTGGGGGACCATGTAGCCTCTTTTCATGCATTTCTTGACTTATTCTTGACTCCCAATCCGCGCTAAGCTCCAGTAATTCCTGCATAATATATAAATAGAGCAGTAAACAAGAACTAGGGAGCTTAACATGACTAAAATACAAGGAAATACATCAAATAACAACAAATTCGTAGGTGAAACATAGTGAAAATATAGAGAATATTTGTGTTTATCAACCAGCAAAATGCGTACCAGAGAGCTGTGCGGCGGATGTAGAGGTGATATGCTAAAAAGCATCAAGTTAACGATGAAGACTTTCAATAGCTTGAATAGTAGAGTCTAAAGTAGTAGACGGTATAGCATTGGCAAGCAATCATGATGTACGAAGCGTTGAGACTGAGGGGGTCGCCGATCACGACTAGTACCTGAGGAACATAACTCAGGATGAAGCTTGAAGTATGTCTCAATGCGGCGTCCTTCCTTCTTGCAATATTTGCATGAGATCTTAGATCGAGCCTGTGGAGAGGGAACCTGTGGAGAAGTATGATTCATAACAGGAGTAGTGACAGGTACAGACAGAATAGTCTCGAGTGAAGAGGTAGGAGTGTTTGTTGATGAATTGAGTTGTGTTGTCTGCTGTCGGGTCTCATAAGTAGTGAAAGCTCCTATAACTGAGGTCAAAGTCGAACATTGAGGCTGATGAAGTAGTTGATCAGTTACAGTTGAATATTCAGGAAGGGACTGAAATAGTTGATGCACTTTATGTTGTTCGTATCAGGCTAGCCAGTCTTCATATGTGGAATTACATCCAGGAAGCATGGAGCGTAATTCTGTCCAAAAAGCTTGTATTTGTCCAAAATAAGACTACAGAGAGAAACTACATTTGCATTGTAGAGCAATGCATTGCAGAAGATATGGCTCCCGTGCACCAGAGCACTCAGTGAAACACTCAGTGAGGCGAGTCCACATGGCTCGAGTAGAGGGAAGAGAACCAATCTCGACAGTAAGATCATAGCCAACACAGCGAGTGAGATAATCCTTGACACGAAATTCCTACAATTGCCAGTCTAAACTCTCCTTGACATAGAGAGCACGAGCGGTCTGAAGATCGACATCACCACTGCCTGATGCAATAGTACTGGATGAAACAACAATGCTAATGGATGGTGGTATCGGTCCCATATTAGTGAGATGATCAAGCAAACCAGCACCACGCAAGGTATTGGTGACAATGGTGGACCATCCTGCCCAGTCACTTTGATCATTGAGGGGCAAATGTGGTTTGGGAATATTCTCTGAAGGAGCCATAATAGTAATGTTGAGACGGATGTTAAGACGTCGTGATGAATTGAAATGGTGATGCCGTTGCTCACTGCAAAATGGCAACGCCGTTCATTTGAGGCCGAGAGATAGCTTGAAACGACGATGCCGTTAATTTGAGACCGAGAGACGGTTTTGAAAACGGCGATGCCGTAAATTTGAGACTAATAGATGGTCTTGAAATAGTGATGCCGTTAAAATAGAACCCGGAAGTTTAAAATAGAACCCGAAGGTTAGAATGAAACCCGATGATTTAAAATAAACCCGAAGGTTAATGTAGATACCCCAAGGTTAAAATGTTACCCCGAAGATTAAAATGCCAAAGGTTAAATGAGAACGCGAAATACGTTAAGAGGCTGCAAAGTAGCAAGGCTAAGATTTGGCAAAAGAATGCAGAAGCGTTAAAAAAATTTATTGGAAGGGAAATAATAACCCTAGCTCTGATACCATATTAAAGTAAGAGAGAGAGAGTCTTGGGTAAATTCCCCTAGAGTTGAATATTGAGTGTGCATATATATTTATACAAGTAGAGGGGGTGATATGTGTTCTCACAACCAATGTGGGACTAAAACCCACTATAATACACTATTATCATTCAAATAGATGGTAATTAGAGATGATCTAATTTTTCTAATAATTAGTGTTCACTCCAATTTCAAGTGACGAGATTCAGCCACCTAGAATTCTCGCTATTATGATAGTGGTTACCTTAGGATTCACATCCTCTTCAATTAAATGTTAATAAGAGATATCTTAATCATTACTATTCATTCCAATTTCAAGCAACGAAGTTAGGCTGCTTATGTTATTTGCAGACAGTAGTTTTCAAGACAAACAATAGTGATTTTCGTGATAATAGTAAAAATTCTATGTGGGCATCATCCTTTTTAATTGC